AGTTTGAAAGTATTCTCTTCTTCAGTTGAAGGGGAAGAGTTTGAAAAGGTTGATGCTGATTCTTTTAATATTTGGTGGAACTCACCAGTGAAGTCATCAGGTCCAGGCTTTTCTTGTCAAAAGGTTTTTGAGTACTAACTAGTTATAGGCCTGTTAAGACCTACCATGTTTTCCCGAAAATAAGACCTACCATAAATAAGCCCTAGCAGGATTTCTAAGCATTTGTACAATATAAGCCCTACCCTGAAAATAAGACCTAGTGATGGGTGTGCTACGCAGCGTATCTGCACAACCATGCATTTCGTCGCGGAGCAGTAAAGACGAGCAGCCCTTCTCATCTGCCCCATCATGACAGCTACTATCCAGAGGTGACCAGAAAGGTGTGGGCAGCCCCCCAACAAGGTCGGCTCCCTTGTCAGGTCCGCCATCCTGTGCGTGCTGCAAGCTGAGCTTTGAGGAAAATAACACATCCCCTGAAAATAAGCCCTAGGGGTTCTTTGAGGAAAAAGAAATATAAGACCCTGTCTTATTTTTTGGGAACACGGTATGTATGCCCTTACTAGTTATAGGTCTGTTCAGATTTTTATTTCTTCATGATTTAGTCTTGGTATTTGCACGTTTTAGGAATTTGTCCATTTTATGTAGATTATCCAATTGTTGGAGTATAATGTTCAGTACTCTTTAAATCTTTTTATTTCTGTAATTGGTAGTAAGTATCCACTTTCACTTCCAGTTTATTAATTGGGTCTCCTGTTCCTTTTTCTTAGTCTAACTAAAGTTTGTCAATTTTGTTAGTCTTTCAAAGAACTAAACTTTTTTTTGTTGAATTCTCTATTGTTTTTCTCTATATTTTTATTTATTTATGCTGTAATATTATTATTTCATCCTATGATAGCTTTGGTTTAGTTTTTTTGTTGTTGTTGTTTTTAATTACTTAAGTTGTACTTAGATTGTTGATTTGCAATCTCTTTTCTTTTATAATGTAAGCATGTAAAGCTATAAAATTCCCCCCCCGCCCCCGCCTTAGCATGGCTTTTTCTGTGTTTCATAGTTTTGGTATATTGTGGGATCCCTAGTTTTCTGGGGATTTTTTAGGAGAGAGGACCTCACTCTTCCACCAGCCTGGAGTGCAGTGGTGCAATCATAGCTCATTGCAACCTGGAACTCTTGGGCTCAAGCAATCCTCCTGCCTCAGCCTCCAAATAGCTGGGACAACAGGCATGTTACAACCATGCCCCATTAGGATCTTTGTATGTGGTGAGTTGTTCTTTCTGCTGCTTTCAAAATTCTCTTTGTCTCAGTTTGATTATAATGTGCCTTGGGATATATATCCTTGAGTTTACCCTTCTTAGAATTCATTGAGTTTCTTAGATGTTTATATTCATGCCCTTCATCAAATTTGAAAAGTTTCTGGACATGTTTTCTTTAAATTATCTCTCTTTCCATTTTTCTCTCTCTTCTCCTGCTGGGAATACCACAATATGTATGTTGGTCTGCTTGATGGCATCCACATGTTCCTTAGTCTCTGTTAAATGTTCTCTAATTTTTTTCTTTTCTCAAATTTGATAAATTCAACTGTCCTATATTCAAGTTCACTGATTCTTCTGCATGCTCAAATATGCTTTTGAATCCTTCCAGTAAACTTTCATTTTAGTTATTGTACTTTTCAGCTCCAGACTTTCTCTTTGTTCCTTTTATGTTTCTATCTCTTATTAGTATCTCTATTTGTTCATTTCATACATCATTTTATTACTGTGCCTCTTTTTATTTTTATCTCTTTGAGCTTCTGTAAGAGAGTTGTTTAAAGTCTTTGTCTAGTAAGTTTGACCATCATAAAAGTTTCTTCAGTAACAGTTTTTGCTGAATTTTTTTTCCTTGAATGAGTTATACTTCCTTCTTAGAATGCCTTGTATTTTTGTTGTTGTTCTTGAAACTGGACATTTTAATTTTATAATGTGGTAACTCTGGAGATCTGATTTTTTTTCTCTTCCTCCAGGTTTGCTGCTTTGTTTAATTGTTGCATGGTCTCTCTGTTCTGAAGATAAGCCTGAAATGTAAACATAAGGTCTCTTTAAATATTTTCTGAGCCTTGCACCTTTCCTGGGCATTCCTGGTGACTTTGTACATTTCCTCATATATGTGGCTGCTGTTGGATGCCATAGTTCTTAAATGTCTGGCTCCCAAAATGACAAAAAATAAAAAATGATGGAGGGAAAGTACCATTCCTTTAAATTCCCTGGAAATCACTTTGTCAAGAAGGGAAGGGGCTTTCAAAAATAGCTTCCTGCCTCTATGTCTGCATCTCTGAGATCAGAAATATCAATTAGTGGTCAGAACACCAATCCCTGATTATTTGGAGTGTCCTTATTGCCCATTTTGGCTCCCACAAGCTGCTTCTGGCCTGTAGGAGCAATGACTGCCTGCCATGAGTATAGGGTTTGGTGGATGGGTAACTGCTACCATACTAAGAGCTGACACTGAAAAAATTTAACCACAATTTATCATCAACCCTTCTCCAAAGTTCCAAAATAGTTATATCAAACATATTCTGCTGGCGCAAATTTTGTCTGCAAATGCAGTAGATTCCTGGTGCTTCCTACTCTGCCATCTTCTCTCTAGTTCCAGTTCTGGTCTCCTATGCACAAGCTTTTAAACCAAATTCACCACTGAAAGAAATCACTTCTAATAAATAAAAGAGATGGAAAGAACAAGAAATGTTGCTTCAAAACTGTTCTTTCCAGATTACATACACACACCCTTGAAGGAATGTCCAAGATGCAGTTTTGGATTAGAAAAGCAAATCACAGAGAAATATATGTATCATAATCTAATGTATTTTTGTTAAAAATAAAACAACATTTGTATGTAAATATTTGTAGGAGCATTCAGAAAAGTTGTGAAAAGATGTACACTGAGCCCCAAACTATGAATTTTTTTTTTTTTTTGGTTACAGTAGGAAGTTTATATAATGAAAATGGAGATAAACATTTTCTTTTTCACTTATCTATCTATTGCTTTACTGCTAGTCATAAATGTATTATTTAAAATATTGGCAAAGGAGTTTTTTATAAAGACTGTAAATATTCACACAGTAAAAAGGGAAATGTTCATTTCTGATCATTGTTAATAATAGTAATGAAAAATATTAAAACAGAAGTAAAGACAGAGTCAACATTACAATTAGTTACTTATCCTGTCCATTCTTTTATTTCCTGACATTTTTCACATTAAATGCCTCCAAATTTCTTAAATTGGTTTATGAACACATGCCAATCTCATATTTTTCTATTAAAATATACTATAATAATATTTAAAATTATTTTTAAAAACTCTTCTCATGGCACTTCCTAATAAGGAAGTAAAAAGGAAAAATTACCCTTGCAAACATTGATTATATGCATTTTCCTTCTCCATAAAAGGATCAGCCCACACATAGGTCAGGTAGGTCACTGTCTGCAATATAAGCTACAGGATACTATTTAGTGCTCAGTTATATCACTACTTTAAGGAATTTTTTAAGATTATTATACACACATCTCTCTGTCATTTGCTTTTTGAATCCAAATTTTCATCCTTCCAGCCATACTTCTTAGGTAAATATTAAATTGTATTCAAATACCAAAGATAATAATATCTATTAGAGGTAAAGGGGGTCTCAAAGTCAAATTAATTTGAGTTATTCTGGGTTTAAAAATGTAAATTGTGCTTTTTGGCTTACTTTTTATGCTTAAATTGCAACACTTTTAAGCCTTTTGAAATGCTAATCTGTACTTGGTTCTCCCAGAGAAAAATTTATTATAGAGTCTTGTTTCATCACAGAATCCTTTTTATAAAAAGTATGTTGGTAAAGCAGTGCTCCTCAGGACACTCAAAATCACGAATCACATGCCTGTGAGCATAGTTTGGACTGGGTACAACAGTGACCTGTGAGTACTCCAAGCCACCCATTATTATATTAACAGTGATTTATTTTATAATAGTGTCTACTATGTTCTGCTTTGTGTTCATCATAATAAAAACTATTTACTAAAGTGTGAGGCAGTGGTGGAATCTTCTGGACTATGACAGATTAAAGATTCATCTGTGATGTCAAGACTGTTCAATACAAGGGAAAAAGGCAGGGTGGAATAGATTATAATAGACACGATAGATTGCTCATTATTGAAGGTTTTGGTCATTCTTTCATTGGTTTTAAAATTAATGGTTAAAAATTTGAATGCTAGTTATATATGTATGTGTTAAATATTAAGAAGGGATATATATGTATATATAAAATACGTTCCCCTTTTAATCCTAAAACAAATGAAGAGAACATATCTAGAATATCCTGGGTGTCGATAGCAACTTTTTAAAATCATTTGCCTTATAGCCTTAGCTGTTATTATAACTGTAAATATCATTAATCTGAGATATGTCACATTCTCTGGTGTTATATTGCTTTATTTTTGGTTAACTAAATTTATATGGCTAACTTATTTAGGATGCCTGAACATAATTTCATGAATAAAATAGGGTGGATTTTCCTTTTGTTTTTTATCTAGGTCAAGTTTTGACATTCCAGCTAGATTTATCATTTGAGATGGCAAGCTTTTCACATATTTATATGATCTAGAATAGTTCCTTAAATATTATATATTTTAAATTTCCTATCCCCACATGTTTTGTTTAGTGACTTTGGGGGTAGGCATTTAACATTAATTTACATTTTTTCTGTGATTATTGGCCTAGTAAGATTTTCTACTTTTTTTAGATCAATATTAGTGATTTACATTTTCTAGAATGTTATAATTTTGTCTAGATCTTTAAATATATTAGAAAAAGTAAAAGTACTAATTTTGAAACTATTAAATTCTCATCCATTTGTCATGTTCATTGCTCTTTCATTATATCGTTGATTTACAACTTTTTAAAATTAATATACATTTGACAATGAAAAATCGTATATATTTAAGTTATACAATTTGGTGATTTAATATACATATTTAGTGAAATAATCACCAAAATCATGTGAATTAAAATCTATCGGCGCTGAGGTGGCCGAGCTGTCTCAGGGAGGCTGGTCGAGTTGGAGGGGTGGCTTACAGTCGCTGATCCAGCATCTCAGGGACGATGGCGGAGGGAGATAATAATCGTAGCACCAACTTGCTGGCTGCAGAGACTGCAAGTCTGGAAGAGCAGCTGCAAGGATGGGGAGAAGTGATGCTGATGACGGATAAAGTCCTCCGATGGGAAAGAGCCTGGTTTCCACCTGCCATCATGGGTGTGGTTTCTTTGGTGTTTCTGATTATCTACTATCTAGATCCATCTGTTCTGTCCGGTGTTTCCTGTTTTGTTTTTGTGCTTGGCTGACTACCTTGTTCCCATTCTAGCGCCTAGAATTTTTGGCTCCAATAAGTGGACCACCAAACAACAGCAGAGATTCCATGAAATTTGCAGCAATCTAGTAAAAACTGGCGCAGAGCTGTGGGCTGGTGGAAACGCCTCTTCACACTAAAGGAAGAAAAGCCTAAAATGTACTTCATGACCATGATCATTTCTCTTGCTGCGGTTGCTTGGGTGGGACAACAAGTCCACAACCTGCTTCTCACCTACCTGATAGTGACTTTCTTACTGTTGCTTCCTGGACTTAACCAACATGGAATCATTTCAAAGTACATTGGAATGGCCAAAAGGGAAATCAACAAGCTTCTCAAACAAAAAGAAAAGAAAAATGAATAATTCATTTGCTTTCTTCAATGTGATTAATGGAGTGTACATTATCCCTGGGAACAGTTTCTACTATACTATGTGGATACTAAAATGTTACAGAAGTAGCTCTTTGCTCTCCCTCACTCTGCCCGTAGTTAATAGAAATTCAGACTCGCCAAGTATGGCTTTGTGCATAGTGTCTTCATGTCAAGTGTAGTTGGATACGTTCTCATCCACTGGCCTTATATGGACAACTCATTAGTGAGTGTGACTTACTTTGATTTTTCTCACCCAGCGTTAATTGAATTCTTACTTTTAGGCAACTTCCTTTAAAATAACATAGTGGTGGACTTTACCCTTTAGTTCAGTTAATGTGACTTTGGATAATTGTTGGAGTTGATCTTTGCTTTAGCTAGATACAAGATAGTGGTCTGTGGCTACAGGAAGCTGGTTCTACTGTCTGCTTTCACAGTCTGCTTAAAAAACTGTCTGATTTCAGGAATATAGAGACCAAATTTATCACTTCTGATGAAGAGACCAATTAAGAATCATTCCTCATTCTGTTTCTTTGCTGTGGGGAAGAATCCCCATGGAATAAAATGAAACTAATTCCATGCCCTAAAGATAATCAAAATATCAGAAACATCCTATGAACAAAAGAAAAATTGGAAAAATTATCAACATCTCCAACTTAATTGGCATCAGAAAATCAGATACACTTTACCCTTATAATTGTATGGTATATATTAAAAGGTTTATATTTGAGAGTGACCATGTGAATTTATCTTTTAAAATTAATGTCTGTACTTTTATATTCAGCTTTGAAGCCATTTCAAACTTTACTCCAAATTATGAAAGTGTCTAAATTTATAACTTACCCTCACATCCTTATTTGAGGACTAGGTAATCATTAATTTCTTTATTCTGTATGCTTGTATTGCCTCCTGGTCATTGATATGTTATACTTTTATTAAAATTAGGCTATGTGTTAGGACCCTCTTTTCTATTACAGTTTACCCTTAAACCACACAGGAGTTAGTGATGCTGACTGCTTCACATAGCTGAAAATCCACACATTACTTTTGATTCCCCAACATTTTACTACTGATAGACTACTGTTTAAGTTATTGCCTCACCAATAACTTAAACAGTATATAAAGACACATTTTGTGTGTTACATATATTATGTAACTGTATTCTTACAATAAAGTTAGCTAGAGGAAAGAAAATATTATGAAGAAAATCATAATGAAAGAAAATATATTTACTATTCATAAAGTGGAAATGGATCCTCATAAAGGTCTTCATTGTCTTCACATTGAGCAGGCTGAGGAGGAGGAAGAGAAAGAGGAGAAGTTGGTCTTGCTGTTTCAGAGGTGGCAGAGGTTCAACAGGAGGAGAAGGTAGAAAGGGCAGCAGGGAGGCTGGCACATTTGGTCTAATATTTATTGAAAAAAATCATCATATAATTGGACCTGTGCAGTTCAAACCCTGTTGTTAAAAGATAAACTGTACTTTGATCCAAAATATCTGTACTTGCTTTCACTATTTAAACATCTAAATTTAATAATTATAAAATATATATAAGACTTATATATATATAAATTTATATATATATAATTACAAAATAAATATAAGACTTAACCATTTTAATGGGTAGAGTTTAGTAGCATTAAGTACATTTACATTGTTGTACAACCTACCACCATCACCATCCCAGACCTTTTCTCATCTTGCAAAATGAAACTCTGTACCCATTAAGTAACTTCCCACTTCTCCCTCCCCCAGCCCCTGGTGACCACCATTCTATTTTCTGTCTCTATGAATGTGACTACTCCTAGGTACATCATTATTAGTGGAATCGTACACTATTTGTCTTTTTATGACTGTCTTATTTCACTTAGCATGTCTTCAATCCTCATCCATTTCATAGCATGTGTCAGAATTTCCTTCCTTTTTATTTTATTATTTTATTTATTTATTTTGAGACAGAGTCTCACTCTATTGCCTGGGCTACAGTGCCATAGCATCAGCCTAGCTCACAGCAACCTCAAACTCCTGGGTTTAAGTGATCCTCCTGCCTCAGCCTCCCAAGTAGCTGGGACTACAGGCATGCACCACCATGCCCAGCTAATTTTTTCTATGTATTTTTAGTTGTCCAGCTAATTTCTTTCTATTTTTAGTAGAGACAAGGTCTCACTCTTGCTCAGTCTGGTCTTGAACCCCTGACCTTGAGCGATCCTCCCGCCTCAGCCTCCCAAGGTGCTAGGATTACAGGCATGAGCCACCACGCCTGGCCTATTTCCTTGCTTTTTAAAGCTGAATAATATTTCATTGTACATATATGTGAAAATATTTTGCTTGTTCATTCTTCATTAATCAATAGGCTCCTTGGGTTTTTGTTTCATTTTTTGGCTGCTGTGAATAATGCTACTATGAATATAGGTATATAAATACATGTTCTGTCCCTACTTTTTGAAAATAAATTACAATCACTGAATTATGAAGATCGAACTTACAATTTTTTAACTTTATGATGGGATAAAAGTAATAGCATTCAGTGGAAACTGTATTTCAAATTTTGAATTTTTATCTTTTCCCAGGCTAGTGATACCTGGTATGATACTCTCTCGCAATGCTGGGCAGTGGCAGTGATTATGAGTGCCAACAACTGACACTCTACAGTACCAGTACTGAAGGTGCTGAAGCTTTTAAGGTATATTAAATGCATTTTCCAAGTTATGACTTACAATGGGTTTAACAGGCCATAACCCCACTGTAAGTTAAGGAACATGTATAATTATGTTTTTAAAGGGAGATTGAAGGAAGTTTGATAAAAATATTTTGAAAATACACACATCTTTTCCATTAGCTGAAGGATTAATAATTTAGTTTAGTTGAAAGCTACCCAAAAGGGAACCCAAAAGAGCAATGATACTATTTTCTTAAAAAAAACCAAAAAAAAAACCACAGAAGACATAAAAATATCCATTGTAAATTTATTATGCATTAGGAAGCTTAACCTAAAAACCAACAGCATAGTAAAAAGATATGTTATCTCTGTTCATAGCAGAACAGGTTTCAAAATATATTTTCTTTTAAATGTATTCAGTCAGTACACAATCCTTTATAAAAGTTGTATATATTTTTTCTATCAATACCTTCATTACATTTATAAATACAAGATTTACACAGCATCAAAAAAAAATTAAAACCCCTTACAAATATCTACATATATGTCATAGCTATAAAACTTTCAAAGGAGTGCTCTGTTAAAGGTAGGCTCTAGATAGATAATGGTCCATTTACTGATGCAGCAAAATACATATAAATCTGTAAAGTTTTCTTTGTCCATAAAATACCTCAAAAAATTAGCAAGACACTTTTTGTGAAACTGAGCTTCACTAAACCATAATATTTTAGAAAGGAATTTGATGTGCGTATTCCCATGAGATTCAAAAGTCAAATAAACAGCTTGAAATAAAAATTATTAAAAACAAATGCATACTACAAAGCAGTTAAGGCAGGAGTGTGATGGAGGAGAGAAACTGAGAAGGACATAGGAGATGTGGGAAACAGCCAACAGTAATAATGCATTATGAGTCTGAACTTGGATATAAACTCCACTGGTATCTAGTTACTATCGCCCTTACTTAGGAATTTTCAAATTGTTAAAAAACTTTCTTAGAAGCAGCCTCCAATTTCTACATTGCCATGAGAATGCTAGATGTGTTTTTTTCTTCTGTAAAATCACCTTGGATCTGACTAGGACACTAGGTCCAGGAATCTGAGTTGCGATTTCTGTATGATTTAAATTTATAAGAAAAATTTGCTTCATGTAGTTAATTAAGGTAACCATTGGTCGGTATTATTAATGTCCATAGATGTATATTTATTGAATCTCATTCTAGCCAAAAATAGGAAGTAGAGAAAATAAAAGGAGAGTAAAACTAGGTTTTCATTTGACCTTTGAACAAAGACAATAAATCCCTGATACTGAGTGACTCTTAATTAAGAGTGACCACTCATTAACACCCATGGGCTAAGTAGGAATAATTCAGAGAAACAGGAAGAAAGAAAATAAGAAGGAATTCTTTACCTGCAATCTTGCCAGAGATGGCAGTCCTACTACAATCCTGTACCTTCTGCTGAGAAGGGCACGGAAAGATTGCTGACATTCTTATTCTGGAGTTACTACAGGAAAGCCATCATTTTTTCTATTTGAGTTTCACCTTGAGAGTTGCACAATATTTTCAAGGAAGTACTTCATATCTTACCTTATGCTAACGTATACACAGAAAGAAAAAGAATGGAAGAAAAGAAATAGGAGGAGGAAGGGCAAAATGATGGAGGGGGTCATTTATCAAACTTGGCCCTGAAGGATGCTGCTAGCATCTAGCATCTCCCCTCCAGCACCATGAGGTTTCCATGTGGTGTGGTCCCTCCACGGCTCAGCTCTCAGAGATGGCATCTGCAGAATCCCCTTTTCTGCTGAGTTTACAGCTCAGTGCACTGATTCCCAGGCTCCTCGAAGGAAGAGAGCTCCCAGATGCTGCTGTCTTGTAGCAGTGGTTCAATGTCCTCATCACTGCCCCGTTCTGGGGTGTTGGTCAGGCTGCCACTGCCACTGTTGCTATGTTTTTGAACTCCACTGGCTTTACTGTATTCAGGGATGAATAAGGCAACCAGAAAAGATATAAGAACTATACATGCCCCAAATAAAAATGGTGGGCCTGGGACAACTCCCTGATGGATGTGGAAAACAAATAGAGACAAAGAATTTGGTTAGTATTTTTAACTCAAAATTAGTCCTGAATGACCCAAAAAGCACACCACCAAAAAGTGAATCATTTTCTCATAAATGAACGTTTCATTAAATGTCAAGGCACACTCTAATAGAGTTTGGTATTTGGAATATGAGAGAAGGCAACTAATCACTGCTTTCTGTACCACTTCTAAATTGCTTAACCAAACCTGTAAGTGACAGCTGCTTTTCTATAGTCCCATCTTGTGGCCTCAGATCATGAACTACCATATATATGAATATTAATTTCAGCTTTGTATAGAAATCTATACTAATTATCACTTAGAAGGAAAGCAGGAAGACATTTCAAATAAATAGTAGAAAAGGCACTCTACCTTAATTTTTAGCAGGATTTTTAGGTCATTGCATATGATATTTAGGCTGGACTTAGCCAGAGAATAGAAGAATGATTCTGTGGGTGAAAACAGAATCTGAACGAAGTTGAAAAATCCTTTACGTAAGCTATTAAATCACTAAAATGATCCCTCTCGACCCCTAGGAAGCAATGAACACAGCACTTAACTGTTCTCAGATACCATAGTAATATACAAGTAAGGATGCCTTCCAAATTTAAGGACACAAGATTTTGCCATAATCAGACACAACCACTGTTACAAAACTAGACTTAACACCAAATTACCTGTAGGACAGCATTGTCAGAATTCAATTTCGGGCCCAATTCGGTCAGTTCCACGTGGAACATGTAGAATATGAAGCCATAAAGTGCTGGCCCCAGGCCATTGCATAGTCCTCTTATTCCAGTTATGATCCCCTGGGCAACTCCTAAATCAGAACAAAGAGCACAGAGCCAGTTTTCTCAGAAAAGCAGCTCAAGATTTGGAGAGCTGAACAGTACTTTCTTACAACCATGATATACTGATTCAGCTCGATGAAATAGAAAGCATGCTGAGGAGAGCAGATTAGGAAGACTGAATCCACCATACTTTCTTTCATTGTATAAATGTTTTCTTGGTTTCACTATGTCCGCTTAATGTTGTCCTCACTCGCTATAAGATCTATAAGATCTTATGACAATGATGTTCTGAAATTGTTTGGGGGTCGAATTTCTCACATCAGCTAGAACTGCCTATAAATGGGGAATAAAATGCAAAGCTTTAATATTCTCCCATTTTAGGGAATTTCCACTTTTTTGCAGGTTGAGATTTCCCTGTTCTGCTCATTTAATGGTGGTTTTACAATAAAAATATACCTTTTACTTCAGGCAGCCCAGGCTACATGGATATTGAGTAGATTTCTTGTTATCTCTGCTATCTAAATGGCAGGTAAAAAATAGCTTGAACCACAAGGAATGGATGTTTCTGTAAGTCAAAAATGAGGGAATATAATTTAACCTAACATGATATATTCCAATAGTTTTATATGCTAACATTTAGAAATATACAGAATTTGTGGTCTTCAAGTAATACTATTTGAAAATGGGTATGAGTAGGATGGCTTTCTCTCTCTCTCTCTCTCTCTCTCTCTCTCTCTGGAGAGACAAGGTCTCACTATGTTGCCCAGGCTAATCTTGAACTCCTGGCCTCAAGCAACCTTCCTGCCCTGGCCTCCCCCCAAGTGCTGGTATTGGGTGTTACCCACAGTACCCAGCCTAGGATGGCTAATTTCTGATGTGGAAAAACAGGTACAATGAATAAATCATTTTTTCCAATATAGTTTTTTATTGAAACTTTTAAAAGCTCTCTCAGACATATACAAATTTTTTCCCTCTAAAATTCTCTACCTTCCTAACTACAGTCAGGTGAGAGATGGAGATGGAAAAGGATGAAATCTGGCAGTGTGAACTACCTGACAAGGAAGCTAAAGCACAGGAAGGATGGAAGAGTCTAGATGGTGGAATGCTACTCATCGAATAGCAGTATTAAATTTAATTTCATCTATTACTCTGCAGCCATCTATTATCAACAGCCACACAGGTTCATGTCTTCTTTACCTTCTGAAAGAACCATTAATTAAGCTCATGGACTTTGAATTATTCCAAATGAAAGGCATTTTAGTGATTATAGTGATTAAATAAATAACTCATGGCTAATTGGCCATTGTTTAATAGACATCTGTTAAAGTATGGTTATGGTCTTGTTAATTCTCATAGTAGTGGACAAAACAAGTATCAAAACAGCAAAGGGAAAATGGATAGTTCTATTTCTAATTCTTAGTAATATGAAAACCTGCTAAGGTTTAAAGGTTTAAAACATGCTAAGTCCAGGTTTTAAAAATATGAGGTAAGATCAAAGCAGGGAGGAAAATAGAATCTTTCCATTTGGCTAAGTATGATCCTTGAGAAGGGACCACATGGCTATCAACTGCTCAGAGCTTCTCATGTTTCTGGGGAGAGGTCTGAGCTGAAGGACAGAAACAGGGAGAGAGCAGCAGCCTTACCTTGCTGATCTGACTCTGCATTCCGAGAGACAAGAGCACTGACTGCTGGAAACGTAATACTGGACATGGCGGCCACAGTCCCTGCTGCCCACATCATCCTGAAATGACAAGACAGGCTGCAGTCAGGCAGTAGGCCAGCCCCAAGGAGTTCACTGTTCAGACTACAATCAGTAGCAAAAGTACAAATGCATTCTGTTTTCTCCTATTAAGTTTATTCTTCCCTCTTTAAAATGGATTTTTTTGAATACACATCACACGGTTAATAACAATCATTACTTCATGGGCTGAGAAGGAGATGGAAGGTCTTTCAAAATCTTTTTTTCTTCCCTGGTTTCTCTATTACTATCTTTAGACATAAGCTCAATTATGTTCATAAGGGGATTTCTTTTGTTTCTATAAAACATCTTCCCCACTGATTTTCTACTTTTTCTTTGTATTTCTCAAAAGCTCACCTTCACACTGTCCTTGGGCTGTGCAGTTTGCTACCCCTCAACAGAGCATAGTGTGCCACCAATTAAAAAAACAAAGCCTGTTTCCCTTAGACCTTTGTCCCTTTTCTCAATGAAAGAGACTTAAGTGTATGTCAGTATGAAGTATTTGTGTGAGTAAAGTGAGGCCACAAATGGGCTTGTAACTGGCTTGGTCAGGCTTTCCTTATAGATGGTCCTTACTGAAAAAAACTCTTTCATGATGACAAGTCTCATCAACACTGCATGAGTTTCACTGAATCAGCTACTGATCCAAAGTTCACAGGACCAAAATTAAAAAGAACAAGAATCAACCAAGTTAATCTCATTAAAAAGTCACACAGAAAGAGCACATGGTTCAAATAAAATTTGGAATTTCACATGGACTGCTAAAGTTCTTCTAGTTCCTCTAAATTATGTTGTCTGTTTACATGCAAAGCCAAGATCAGATTTGAGGTCTAAAATGAAGAAGGCACTCTGCATTTTGTCATCAAGCACATGGGGAAATTTGCTTGCCACACAACAAAATACAAATGAGGATTCTTTCTATTTCTTTTTATTCCACAGGGCTTATTTTGACCTTCCTTCCTGTTTGTGGGAATCTAATATGCTAGCAGTAATAATAGCCTCAGGATACACATGGTTTGGGAAGAGATTTTAGCATTCATCTAACTCAAATCCTTTATTTATAAAGGTTATGTTATTGCCCCAAGGTTGCTCAGTTAATGACAGCAGTTAGGCATGCTATATCCAGTCATTTGGCCTTGTCTTATTTTATTGATGACTATATGCAATGTCCCTAAAAATTAACAAATATGTTTTAAAAAGTTGATATAGAAATTTACTAGGGGCCTAGGGAAAGAGTGACACACATTCAATTAAGCAACATGACATAAAAGCAATCTTTATAAATAATCCTGAGTTACCTAGCTCCACTCTTCCCCAAAGTAAAGTCTAATGGTTTCTGAAAAGTTAAGTACACCATACCAGTTAAGCAACCCTTGCCACCTTCTCATCACACCCAACCAGTTCAAGCTCCTCTAAGACATACCTGTCTGATAGTTCATGACAACCTACGAGTGAGACTTACCAGGCCTGAGATCCAAAACCATACCAGGCTAACTGGAACATCTGGAAGCCCAAGCCAAGGAGGACAGTATTCTTATTACCTAATGATCTCATCAAGATGCTAAGAAAGAATGTCTGCAAAGTAAAAAAGACAACCCTGAGAAACCATGTTAACAAGGAATTTGAATGCGAGCTCTGTGAGTCAAGCTTACTCACTGATGACCGAGGACCTATAATGGCACACTGCCTGACTTGCAGCCACAGAGTCTGGTCACGTATCTCTACAGGGGTGGAGTTTCAGAGGCTGAACTGGGAGACTTAGGACCTTCAGCTTCCTCCTTGAGAAGCCTGTCTACCACCTGGTGCTCTGCGGGGACATCCCAAAAGATTATCATAGCTGTTCATCAGTTATCATAATTAAAAAGGGATACTTCTTAGTCTCTCTGGAGAAATGCCAATCATTTATCTGTAAATTGCAAACTCCTGTTGAATATTTATAGAATTTGAAGGATTTTGCTGGAAGTTAACAGTTTTAAAAAGTTGGAATTGATGTAAATTTGATTTTAATAAATACATACTCTGCTAAATACAACTAGTTGGGATAATCTGAAAAAAAGTTCAAGACAACTCTGGGCTAATCGACCAGGATTAATGTAAAAATAAACCAATTATCATGATGAACTTGAAAGTTTAACATAATTTATATTTGCTAATATGGTTCAACAAAAACAAAAAGACAAGAAGCCTTTTGCCTTGATGCATTCCCATGAGTCTTATCTATTCCACTGTTTGGGTAAAGCAGTTTTGAAGCCTTCTTATTTCTCCTTGAGAAATAGTTATCACAGAAGGGTACTCCACTCAACCTAGTAGACATTTCAGGGAAACAGCCTCTAGGCAGTCCCCCATATGATGCGGTGAATGTACCTAAGCACAACAGTGAATTAATCTGAAGGACATATGCCCCGCCTTTTGTGGTCCCATATTTATAACAGATGGGAAATATTTAATGCTCATCATTTGTCGCATATATTCTAATGTACTGGTGCACATTCTTCAGTCTGGGGAAAGTAGGGTTTTGAGCATTTACTGATTTTCATTGCTGTTTTTCATCTATACTTATTTTTCAACATTAAAATAACACTGAAATATTCTCCTGGTTAAGTTAATGTTGCAATATTTAGAGTTGGATTGTAATTATTTAAAATTTTGATTGTTGCAAAAGCAAATAAAAGAATTGACCCAGTAGAGGTTACAACAAATATCCTAAAAAGTACTAAAAGTTGTATTAAATTCCTCCTAAATCATAACCTCAACATTATACTTACAAAGAAATGGTTCTGAGAGCCATATCTAAGTCAGTTTCCTGGATTTGATAGTATACTATATTTGTAAAGATGTTACCATGGCAGGATATAAGACACGGAGGTAGCAGTTCAGGGAATATCTCTCTGTACTTTCATATGTGGCTTCCTGTGAATCTATGGTTATCAGGATAAAAATGTTTATAGAAGAAAAAGTATGAGTAAAATGACACTCACCTGAGCCACAATAGACAGAATTCCTACCATAGCTATAAATGCTGCAATTTTAGCAGATTCAAAACCTATGACCTATGGAAATGGAAAGAAAACACTTTAGTAAGTTAGATATTATAAAAATAATTAAGAAATATTATTAATATGTTCTATTAAAATGATAGGATAAAATAATTGAGGAAATCTGATAAAACTGTGGCAAATTAAGGCAGTGCTGAACCTATTTAACAAATAATTTATATCTAAATCTAAGAAATCACTATAAGACAAACTTTAAATTGTGAAATAGTTTTTAGATAATATTTTCTATTATATGTCTGTCTATTGCTTCATATTCTGTCTCCATCCCCAACCCACAAATTGACAAATACAATAATACTAAGGTAATAGAATTGGAAAGAAAATGATTTGACTTTTTGATGCTGCCAAAACAAAATTGCTCATTAGTAAAGCCAGTGGCTTCCAACTCTGGCTGCACATTAAAATCACATGAGCAGAAGAGAAGGGAAGAGGAGGAAAGAGAAGGGAAGGAAGCAATGAGATACTGGAACCCACTGAAGACCAATTAAATCACAATCTCTGGGGATATGGCCCAGGCACAGGTATGTTTTTAAAAACTCCCATGACAATTCCAATGAGCAGCCAAAGTTAGCTGGCAATGATTTCTAAGACTTTGGCCTTAACAGTATCTCTGAAATGCCTAAAATTTTTAAGTTTTAAATACCCAGTTTCTTAAAAGTTCATTATTTTTCCCTCTATGAAATTCTATACAATTCAAGAAAAGGACCTTAAAAATTATTTTATATATTCTTCTCATTTCATAAATGAGTACCTTGCTTCTAGGCACACAACTAGCTAATGAAAGAGGTAGGGCTTAGACAATCCAATCCAGTGCTGCTGACATTAACAATATTTTATTACTACCTAATCAAATGCAGTTTTAAAAAATGAAACCTCAAAGTGTAGATGTAGAGATTATTTCTCAGCCTACATTTGTAAATATCTTTATATATCTATATATAGCTTTATTGAGATAGAATTGAAATACCATACAATTCACCCATTTTAAGTGGTCAGGTCAATGGTTTTAGTATATCCACAGACTTGGGCAACTATCACCACAACCACTTTTAGATTTTTATCACTCCTCAGAGAAACATGATACCCATCAAAGAGTTCTGCTCCCCAGCCTAACCTATCCACCTCCTATCTCCATGAATTTGCCTATTCTGGGCATTTCATACACATTGAATCATAAAATATGTGGTCCTTTCATGTTTTCATGGTTGACTCATGTTGTAGCACATATCGATACTTTATTACTCTTTTTTTTTTTTTTAGACAGAGTCTCACTCTGTTGCCCCGGTTAGAGTGCCGTGGCGTCACCCTAGCTCACAGCAACCTCACGCTCCTGGGCTCAAACGATTCTTCTGCCTCAGCCTCCTGAGTAGTTGGGAATACAGTATACATCACCATGCCCGGCTAATTTTTTCTATTTTTTACTAGAGTCAGGGCCTTACTCTTGCTCAGGCTGGTCTAGAGCTCCTAAGATCAAATGATCCACCGGCCTTGACCTCAAAGAGTGCTAGGATTACAGGTGTGAGCCACTGCACTGGCCATACTTTTTTACTATCAAATAATAACATTCTATTGTATGGATATACCACATTTGTTAATCCATTCATCAGCTGATGGACATTTTAGTTGTTTCTACTTTTTGGCCATTATGAATAATGATTTGTGTACAAGTTTCTACATTAGATGTGTTTTCATAATTTTGAACATTATGAGGAACTGCCAGGCTCTTTTCCACAGCAGCTACGCCATTTTACATTCTTAGTTCTTATTTAAGACAGTTCTGATTTCTCTTTGACAGACATCTTTGTCTGTCTTTTTGATTAAAACCATCATAGTGCATTTGAAGTGGCATTGTTGGTTTGGTTCGCATTTCCTTGATAAATAATGTTATTCATCTTTTCATGTGTTCACTGGCTTTTTATATATCTTCCTTTGTGAGCTTGAAGAATAATCTATTCAAAATCCTTTGCCTATTTTTTCAGTTGGTTTGTCTTTTTGCTCTTATCAGATATTATTGAGTCTTTTATTATAATAGTTATATACATATTCTGAACACAAGTTATTTCTCAAATATATGATTTTCAAATATCAAATAGAATTTTAACTAAAATTTGTGTGTTCAACACTCTTAAAAGCAAGCACAAATATAAAATAAACATGGAATGATTCTGGTTTGTTGTAATTGGTGGTGGTGATGACATGAACACACATGTAGGAAAAAAAGGCTAGAAGTAAAAATAGTCACAGTTGTTTATTATCTGTGTAAAGAGTTGGGTTTTTTTTTGCTTCCTTCCTTGGACTTTCCTATTTTTCCTACATTATTTTCTATATTAAATGGATACTTCATTTAATGTGTAAATTAATTATAAATGCATGTATAATTTTCTCCATTAAACACACATTATCTCACCACTTGCCTCTAAATCTCCAGCATCCATCATCCACCATGAGCAAACACAGAAATGCTTCAAAAAAAGCTTTACTTACATGCCACCATACAAAATATTAGTCTCATACTCTCAGGGAAAACTATCAGAATGGAGAATATAACAAATTACATTTTTAAATCTCTAAAAAATAGAGTAATTTATCTAAGAGGCCTGCTCTGTCAAAGTGGAGTAAACAATTAGGAAAAGGCCTTCCTTCCAATGAAATCAGGAAAAAACCAGGGCAGGATGCAATAGAAAGGCAGCTTAAATCTGAGCAATCCCAGAGGCCTGAAGGACAGTTGGAGAAGGGAAGTTTTTTATTTTTTTTTAAATTGTCTTAAATAAATTATCTATCTTAAGGGACAAAATAGTTATATAAAATTTTAAACAGGAAAAAATCAGAAGAGAGGGAAAACTTTTATTACTGCTTGTGAGTCACCCTGAAGTCTATAGCAGCAGTTGAGCTATGGTATACTGCAGACAGCTCAGCAAACTGGCTGCAACTGGACCCAGGTTAGAACGCGTCTGAAATAAAATACCTCTCTATAAAATTTAATGGATATTAAAGATTTAAAACATTAAATTACAGAAATGTTTATAGCAGTTTTGTCCATATTTACCAAAACTTGGAACCAACCAATGTATCCTTAAGTAGATGAATGGATAAATTGTGTCATGTACATGCAAACAACTGCTAAAAAGAAATGAGTTATCAAGCTATAAAAAGACATGAAGGGGCCGGGCACGGTGGCTCACGCCTGCAATCCTAGCACTCTGGGAGGCCGAGGCGGGCGGACTGCTCAGGTCAGGAACCAGCCTAAGCAAGAGCAAGACGCCGTCTCTACTATAAATAGAAAGAAATTAATTGGCCAACTAACATATATATATACATAAAATTAGCCAGGCATGGTGGTGCATGCCTGTAGTCCCAGCTACTCGGGAGGCTGAGGAAGAAAGATTGCTTGAGCCTAGGAGTTTGAGGTTGCTGTGAGCTAGACTGACACCACGGCACTCACTCTAGCCTGGGCAACAAAGTGAGACTCTGTCTCAAAACAAACAAACAAACAAACAAACAAACAAACAAACAAGACATGAAGGAACCTTAAATGAATATTATTAAGTGAAAGAAGCCAATCTGAAAAGGCTATAAACTGTATGGAAAAAGGCAAAACTATGTAGACAGTAAAGAGATCAGTGGTTACTAGGGGTTTGCAGTGGGAGAAGGGATGAATAGGCAGAGCACAGGGGATTTTCAGGGCAGTGAACATACTCTGTATGATACTTTGACATTGGATACATGTCATCATGTCATTATACATTTGTCCAAACCCTAGTATATACAACACCAAGCATGAACCTTAATATAAACTGCAGACTTTGGGTGATACTAATGAGTCAAAATAGGTTCATCAATTATAACAATGTACCACACTGGTGAGGGACATTGATAGTGGAGGAGCTGTGCCTGTACAGGGGAAGGGGAAACATCAGAAACTTTTCTCAAGTTTCTCATGCAACTTACTCTCACTTTTGCTGTGAACTTAAAACTATTCTAAAAAAAAAAAAAAAGTCTTTAAAACAAATATTGTGGTAAATTCTGTTTCTGCTAATTCTCTCTGAATAATTCTTAAGAAAAATTCTTCCATAGTGAATATCTTACTATATTTTAAATAATAATTATATTAAATGTACCATTTACTAGTTATATGCCAGCACCTACATTTGTAACTAGAAACAAGTTCATGCCATGTTTTATTTTTCCTCTACAATGGATTCCCCAAAATTTCTTTAGACAGATCCCAATCTTTGATTTTCCACATGTCCAAAGGCTACTAGGCACTAAATACTCACCTGCCTGAGATAGAGAAAAAAACTTGAATACTGTCCAGCTTCAGGAAGGTATGAAAGAAACACAGTGATGCAGATTAGTAAGACAGTAGAATCTTTTCCAACTTTTTTCAGTGACTGGAAATAAGCAAAAAGAAAACACATAAAAAGCTAACAGACACAAATATCACCAATGTTCTGGGACACTGGCTTCACTATTTTGACCTATTAAGATGGATTATCTTTGGATTATAAAAGGAAGTAAACCTTAATATTAAATCTATCATCATCTCTCTATAGAATTTACAAGTTCTAATTTCAGAGGTATATATTTCAAATATTATAGCTTTTTAAAAAACACATGCTCATCTTTGTTAACAACACTGGTTCATATCCCTAAACAGATCCTGAACCTCCTATGAACAGATCCTGAACATACATGCCTACAGAACCTTTTGAGATCATCATTTCTCTCTCTTGATTTATAATACAATTTCATTAAGGCCATAGTCAGTACAAAGTTTTCATTACACATAAATTCACTCTATTCTTCAAAATGTTAATATCCAATTTGCCTGTAAGCCTGGTAGACAAATAAGTATGCTCTAGCCATGGGGTCAGACTGGTAAGAACTTTCTGAATGCTACAACCTTGTTGAATCTTTCTTATATAAAAATGAATAAAATAATGTCTTTTAGAGCAACTTGGATAGAACTAGAGATCATTATCCTAAATGAAGTATACCAGGAATGGAAAAACCACCACCACATGTGCTCTTTAATAACTGGGAGCTAATAGATGGGCACACATGGGCAAAAAGAGATGTAAAGGTCATTGGAAATCAGGAAAGGGGCGAGGGCAGGGACGGGGTAAAAACTTTACCTATCCAGTACAATGAACTCTATTTGGGTGATGGGAACACTAAAAGCCCTGACTTAAGCATTATAAAAGGTATCCATGTAACAAAAACATTTATACCCCCTTAATATTTTGAAATAAATTTTTAATAATCCTTCTTATATACATAGAATTGTTCCATAGAACCAAAAGGTATACTATTACCGAAGGAGTGGAAAAGACTGCAGACCTCCTAGGTCATCATGTCATAACTTTGACATACTTAATAATATATAAAAGCTAATATCTATTGAGACCTTGCTACATATCAGACACTAGACTACTTAATTTTACACACATTAACTGTAATCCTCACAACTGCCCTGAAAAGCCACAGTAGTTCCATTTCACAGAGGAGCTTCCATGCGTAACTTGATCACTGCATGACAAGAAGGCCGGAAGCCTAACTGGCCGGCTCCAAGTCCACTCCTGGCTTCCTTTTCTAAATACCTCTTTTGCTGTCTAACATTGTGGCATAAATAGAACAGGAAGGGTCCCCAGGTCATGTCCTAAGTGAGTATTTAAGAAAAGAATTTCTGACAAGTTCATATACCTTTCCTAAAAGGTAAACTTGGGAACAAAAAGCAAAAATCAAATCTCTGGTTCTTTTTTTCTGCACATATCTTTTTCAAGAACAGTTCCAAACCAAAGATAAGGTGGGAAGAAGATGAGAGATAAGATACTTTTTTTTTCTAATTGTTAGTGTGACACACACACACCCGTACCAAAAAAAAAATCATATATATATATTATATATAAATCTATTCACTATATATATTAAAAATCTATTCACTCTGCAAAACACAAATTCAAAGTCTCTGGTCAAAGTGGAGGTACGTTAACAGCTCTTTAGTAAGACCAAATGCATTTATCCTTTTTGAATCAAAGTCAGTGAAAATGCCCACTTCAAATGACCACCTTCATTTATTTTGTTAAAAAGTATGAAAACAACGAACAACCATACAAAAGAGAAATTTCCTTCCCAAACTTTCATCGAGGATTAATTTGACATTTATTCTCTCTTTCCTTATGACATGCTTAAGTACCAATTATACATATTTCTTAGTGCATAGACTACCTCACTCCATTACTTGTAATTAATTTTTCTCTATTTTTTACTGGAAATAGAAATGGATCAACAACTGCTGGGATTCTTGAGGCTACACATATATTATTTGCTTGGCTTAGAAAGATATTTAGAAAAGTAAATATTTTCATGTTTTTATTTACCGCAAAAGGGTCTGCTTGTTTCCAAGAAATCTGAGCTCCCCAGGAAACCGGTCTCATTTTCTCAGGCAGAGATTCCGGAACAGCCACTAAGATGAAGCAGATGTCTAGAAGAGCCACCACTGTGGCTACCAGCACAACTAGGCTGTCTCCATAATTGGCAGAAAGGTATGCTCCAATGGCGGGGCTGATGACCAGACTAGCTGCAAAAGTGGCTGAGACCTGTAAGAAAGCATATTCTCACCCAGGGTCCCACAGGTGAACACCTGGGCATACCCTTATCCAGGGTCCCACGTGCTGCAGGGGCATACCTGTGGGAAAGCACACCACTCAACCAAGGTCCCACAAGTGCATAGCTATAGCCATTTTCCATGGCTATAAGCAAGATAAAAAGAATGTGTTGCATACAACTTTTAAGAATGAAAGATAATTAATGAAAGTAATTTTAAGAATTTGTTCACAAACTATTAACTAATTGGAGATACCCTCCAGAGCCACAAGAGTTTAAAAATATATAGAGGAGGTCATTAAGTATGAAATGTCTGATTGTGAATCGTAAGTGTAGTTTATTATATCTCAAACAAGAAGCTATTCAATTAATCAATGTATATATCTAAACTATCGAGGCAGTTTTGCCATCTTAATGGTAGCTTGTTTATGTCAGCAGCAAAGAGGCCTGGAGAACAAGAGGCCATGAAATCACAAAAGGCATTTTCCACAGCTTGTTGAGAATTGAATACTTCTCCCTTATAAGAAGAGGTCCAAAGCTTAGAAGAAGTGGCAGTCAGCTGGTGCAAGTCTGGTGAATATAGTGGATGACAGAGAGTTTCTAAGTCCAGCTTCTGTAGTTTGAGCAGTGTTGTTAGTGCGACATGTGGTTGGTCAAGCATTGTCTTGCAAGAGGACTGGCCTGTCTCTAGTGACCAATCTTGGCTGCTCAATTGCAAGCATTTTCATCATTTCATCCAATTGACTGCAGTAGATATCCACTGTCATCAACTGACCAGGTTTCATAAAAAGCTATAATAGATAATATCAGTGCTGGACCACCAACAGACACCATGAGCTCTTTCTTGATGAATATCCAGTTTTGGACTGTGTTTTGTCACTTCATCTTTCTCCAACCATTGTGCTAAAAGTTTGGGATTGTCAAAAAGAATCCATTTTTCATAACATGTAACAATATGGTGTAGAAATGGTTTGCCTTTATGTTGTGACAGCAAAAAAGCGCAAGCTTTGAAATGATTTCTTTTCTGACATTTGTTTAATTCATGTGGTGCCCATCTATCCTGCTTCTTCACCTTGCCAATGTGTTTCAAATGCTCCAATATTATTGGAATAGTAACATCAAACCTTGCTGCTAATTCATGTGTAGGGTGAGATGGATTCACTTCCACTACAGCTTTCAGCTCATTATTATCCACCTTGGTCTCAGGTTACCCACATGGCTTATTTTCAAGATTAAAATCACCAGAATGGAACTTCTCAAACCATTGTACATTCATTAGCCACGTACTTCCCAAACACTTTGTTAATATTTCAACCTGTCTGTGCTGCATTGGGACCATGATGGAACTCATATTCAAAAGTAACACGAATTTTTGACTTATCCATGGTTTCACAAAAATTGCTCTGAAAAAATAATTTGAAAATTTGAAAAAAGAATTTGAAAACCAAAACATGCATTTGAAAAACTAAAGATGTACCTTTGCAATAAAAATATGAAGTGTCAAAGTGAAATTTCAGAGATATCAACTAACTTAGTACTTAAGAAAATTGGACATTTCATACTTAACCTAACAATGCTATTAGAAATAAAAATTATGAAAACCTTCCCCACAAATACAACATTCAGACTTTGGTCTTCTTTAACTGGAGGATGGGAATGTGAGAAGAATATGGAAAAAGAACATTCCTATAGGGCTGATGATAAAATCTACAAATTAGTCAGGGACTGTACTTAGTTTCATCTTCCAAAAACGTATACTCTTTCACCATTTTATCATTTGGTGGCCATTTGCTTACACTGAGGGGTGGGTGGGGAATTCCAAAACTGATATATATTCTTAGAAAGAGAAAAAAATAACAACAAAAAAAGGATTTGTTGAAGGAGAGGTTGGAGATTTTTGACTAGAGGGCTGTGGATTTCTGTTAACCCTGTCGCCATGTGACTGCTGTCCAGTACAAAGACCACAGAGCCAGCTGACCACAGCTGCAACATGAAGCCACGTGAGCCTCTTCACACTGCACTCCTATAAGCATGTAGAATGCTTGCTGTATTTTAGAATGCAATCTGAATGTTCAGAAACTTAATGGGCAGTCGCCAAGTTATAACCAGACTGAGTGTTAAGCATATCTATAAGTTAGCTATTTAAACTTCTAATTGATTTTACTAGAAATCACATAAATCATTATCTGTGACTGTAATTATGATTCCTAGTATGCCAATGACATTCTGTTTTCATCCATCATCCCCAACTGAATATAAAACTACAATGTATTTAAAATTAGTATTACGCTAAAAATATTATAAAAGTCATAAATCAAAAAAAAGTTTCTAGAGGGGAAAAAAGGATGTGGAGAATTCCAATTTGGGGAACAGGAATTCTTTCATTCAGTGTTTATTGAGTACCTACTATGAACCAAATGAGTTTGATGAGCCTCCTGCCCTTCAGGCATGCCCACTTTGAGAAGTTCAAGGCAACCATATAACTGCATTATGAAACAATTATAGGAGCATTTCTACAGTCTCCTCAGGTGCTACAGAAAGACTGCTACAGCATCCTCACATCTACAGAAGCACTGTTGTAGCATCCTGAAGTGCTATGAGAGCACTGCTGCAGAATCCTCTGGTACTACAGAAACACTGCTGCAGCATCTTCAGACTTTCAGTATGGAAGGTGCACATATTTTATACATTGTTCTTTAATGGGTCTCAAAATGTTCCTTAATACTTGACTATAATTAATTGGCAAGAAATTCTCCTATATTTGTAAGATAGGTAGGCAGCAAGATGCTTCTTTTAATTCTGTCATCTTAACATCTAGCATTAGGGGTAAATGTAAAGTAGTCTCTGGCCAAAATCCTAGGTCTTATGACAAATCCAGGAAGCCTTACATGCTGAGTCGCTGATGCTGGCCAGGAGCACATTTCAGCTAAGCAGTGTCTCAGCCTTGATGTGCATGCTCACTGACTTCTCTCAATGCCCCTATGAATAGGCATTAAGCCTAACTCCCATATTACAAGGAGGAGCTAGTTAGAGAGGGCAATTAAGTCACAGTCACTTCTAGTTAGAACTTCTCTGAAATCTTTCCTTAAAGCACTGCTACTCAGCACAACAACTTTGTGAATGGTTTTCCAGCTAAAAGGAAGGAACAAAATCGAACAAAATTGCAAAGAAATGGGTATCTCAATGAGTTTTCCCCAGTGTAAAAGAAAGCTATCTTTCACCTCTCTCTCTCTGTTGCCCAACTCTAACAAGCCCACCCTGAACACCTTTCCTTCTTTGAAGGCTTCCTATCAGCTTCTCCTTCTGCCTGTCTTCCTCCACAGCAATCTGAAGATGTCTCGTGTTAGGGCATAGCAAGAGGGGGACATTCAGGGGTGGAGGGAAGGCGGCAAGGAGAAAGCAGGCAATAGTCAGAGGGGAAGTGTGGTTTAAAGAGAAGTTTTCAAACTACTCTGTCTAAAGTCAACAAAGTAAAAATTTTTGTCTTTTGTGGAACAGCAGTAATTTACTTACATGTCCATCACTGATTAATGACGTTATTCATTAGGTCAATAGCAGTGAATGACTACTTACTCTTTTCCAGGAAGTGGACTTTAAAACAAAGACTCAGGGAAAGGAGAGGAATAATCTAAGTTTGTGGCATTCAATCCCCCTCCAATCTATTCCCCACAATCCAGCCAGATCATCTTTTTCTACCTTCTTATTGTGAACATTATCAAACACAGACGAAGGTGGGGGATTACAAAGCACACTTCCATGTCCTACAGGTTTAGGCATGGAACACATGACAACACATGAGCATCCACGTGTTCACACGCTATCTTTTCCCCAAAACCATTTTGAAGTAACTTGCAGAGTTGCAGCACTCTGATCCAAAATGCTTTGGCTGCCATCTTCTAACAGATCTTTCTTCTCCTATATAACCACAGTTCCACTATCATGCCTGGGAAAATTAGAAAGATAGTCTAATATCAAATTGTCAAAAAAAAAAGTCTCCTATAATTTCCTTTTTTTTCCCCCTTTGAAACAGAGTCTTGCTCTGTTGCCGGGGCTAGAGTGCAGTGGCATCATCATAGCTCACTACAACCTGAAACTCCTAGACTCAAGGGATCCTCTCGCCTCAGCCTCCCAAGTGTCTGGAACTACATGCATATGCCACCACACCTGGCTAATTTTTCTATTTTTTTGTAGAGATGAGGGTCTCACTCTTGCTCAGGCTGGTCTCAAGCAATTCTCCCACCTTGGCCTCCCAGAATGCTAGGATTTTAGGAATCAGCCATCGTACCCGGCCTCCTATAACTTTTCTTATCTATTTAACGCCTATGTATTTGTTGAATGAATGGAGTCCTTTTTCCACAGTATGTCCCAAATGGGTGCCCTACACAACCACCAATAAAGTTATAATGTATTAACATTGCTGAGATTCCAGCACTTCTCCAATTAGAATTAGGTACACACAGACTTCTGATCTTAATACCTATTGACTGTTTAAGGTTTCTCAAGAGGTCAGATAATAAGAAATAAATCAAACCAACTTTTTAAAAAACTTTACAACTGACAATTCACATATTCCTGCCAATCTTCCAACCCTAAAACCAGGGAATAAATTACGAGCAATTTCTATCTTGCTATCTTTAACTTTTTGTAGGAACCCTTTTTTATTTCATTTGCTTTAGATTTCCTTTTATATAAATATATATTTACCACTTATTTTAAATCTCAGTTTCTGGTGAATTTTTAATAGAATATTAATTATTATTCTGGTTAAAAAAATATATAGTCTATTATCTTACCCATCCATAAGCAGTACTCCGTGCGTGCTCCTTAGTGACATCAGCTACGTAGGCAAATATCACAGAGAACGTGACTGAGAAGACTCCAGAAACAGAAATCATTGCAAAATACCACCTATAAAAAGATAGATGGTTTAATTACCCAGGAGAGAGGCAGTGTATTTGTACTTTTATAATCCAAGCCAAATATATCATGTAACGATTACAAACCAATAAATAAATAAATATACATGTATATGTGTATATACTTAAAGATAGAAAAATTAAAATCAAAATGGGGAGGAAGAAGTAAATACATGCTAATTATGTCATTGCTCAAAGGGGGTCAGTTACATGTAGTCTACAAAAGAACAGAAAAAAGTAGGAAAAAAGTGAAAGAATAAGGGGAGTTAAGTAAAAGTTATAGTTTTAAAGGTAGCCAACAGAGTAAAAATTTTTCAAATTTCCTAGCTTTAAGTAAGAAAAAGACATACACAACAAATGATTTTAAAACTGCAGTCCCCAACCCCTAGGCCAGGAATGGTACCAGTCCATGGCCTATTAGGAACCAGGCCACACAGCAGGAGGTGAGCCACAGGAAGAAGGGGTGAGGTAGTGAAGCTTTATCAGTATTTACAGCCACTCTGCATTGTTTTCATCACCACCTGAGCTCCGCCTCCTGCCAGATCACCAGCAGCATTAGATTCTCATAGGAGAGTAAACCCTACTTACTGTAAACTGCACTTGCAAAAGATCTAGGTTGCATGCTCCTTTATGAGAATCTAATGCCTGATGATCTGAGGTGCAGCTAAAGTAGTGATACTAGCATTGGGGAGTGGCTGCAAATACAGATTGCCATTAGCAGAGAGGTTTGACTGTACAGAGACCATAATAAATCAATTGCTTGCAGACTCATATCAAAACCCTATCAGTGAGAGGCAAGTGACAATTAAATTGCATCTGGTGGCAGGCTTTATAGTGGCAAGTAAGCATCTTACCATCTCCCCCCACCAACCCCCAATCCATTGTCTTCCTTGAAACCAGTCCCTGGTACCAAAAAGGGTGGGGACCGCTGTATCTACACAAAAGCAGAAAGTATAACAAAAAAAATTAATGTAATTGAGACCAAAAACTTCTATCATATACACAGATGATTTTTAGAAACCTAGTTAAAATATTACCACAGAAAATCTTACAGAACAAAAAGTAGGGTTTATTCCAGGATAAAAGAATATGAAAATATTCTTAAAACAAATTGAAAATATTAGAAAATCTATTAATATAATTAATTACATTAATAGCTTTAAGGAGAAAAAGCAAATAATCTCCATTAATGTTAAAATATCATTTAATAAAATTTGACATTCACTGTTGATTTAAAAAATAATCTCTGGATAAAATAGGAATAAGTATTTTTCAACCCAAAAGTTAGCCTAACACCTAATGATGAAACATTATAACACTCCCTCCCTTTATATATAAGAAGAAGATACATCCACAATCATCACTTTTATTTAACATTATCCATGAGTCCATACAATTACCAAAAGCAGTGAACAGCAAGAAAACTGGAAGAAGTAAAATTTTTGACAGATGACAATATGCCTAGAAAACCAAGCAATTAGAAGAGCCCAATTTTTAATAGAACAAAAATAATAAAACTTATAGGCATAAAACTTAACAAGAAATGTATAAGATCTAAAGAAAAAATGTTAAGTTACCAAAGGACATTTAAAAAGCCATGTGTTCTTGGACATAAAGACTCAATACCAAAAAGCATTTTATAAAAATTCACCACCTGGGACCAGGTGCGCTGGCTCACACCTGTAATCCTAGCACTCTGAGAGGCCGAGGCAGGTGGATCGTTTAAGCAGTTTGAGACCAGCCTGAGCAAAAGTGAGACCCTGTCTCTACTAAAAATAGAAAGAAATTAGCTGGACAACTAAAAATATATAGAAAAAATTAGCCAGGCATGATTGGTGCATGTCTGTAGTCCCAGCTACTTGGGAGGCTGAGACAGAAAAGATTGTTTGAGCCCAGAGTTTAAGGTTGCTGTGAGCTAGGCTGATGCCACGGCATTCTAGCCCAGGCAACAGAGTGAGACTCTGTCTCAAAAAAAAAAAAAAAAAAAAAAAAAAATTCACTACCTGGTAAAAAAATGATTATGGGTACCCAACAAATTCAGAATGTGACAAATGCTGACATAAAATCCCTGTCAGATAATCAAACAAAAATATTTTCACATGACCCAAAAAAGAAAATCTATTAATAGCATTAAAAACCAAAACAAACTTCCATATTTAAGTGCATTCTTCACATAGGAAGAGCATGTCATCAACATGAACACAGGCCAAAATACCATCCTCTGGCATCCAGAAAACAACTAAGTCACAGGTCACATGCAAATTCCAACCCACCTTTGGTAACTTAATGAACTGTGGTCACATGTTAAACACTCTCTCCAATTTATCATGTTGCAGGAGAAAATGAACTCAAATTCAAATTCATATTATAATTTAGAATAGGCTATCAATCTGACTATATTATGTACAAAAGTGATTCCTGCCTATTATGATATAAACTATGTTCATGTCAGTGCCCCAAAAGCAATGAGCTAACAATAACAATATATTTACAAAGTCAACTAAGCCACAGTGAAGAGCCCACCCCAAGGATTAAGCTCCTACAACTGACATCACGGCAACAACAGCTACCTTATAGACATCTTTTATTTCTATTTCTTCAGCTAAGTAGCTTATCTCTGTAATGTCTTATATTTCTCCATTTATAAAATGAACATGATGGCAACTGCCCAAATTGGCTTTCAGTATTACCAAAGACAGCAAATGAAAACACAGGTAAAACTGCTTTGGTTAAGTGCTCCGTAGGTGGAAGTATAACTTACACATGACTCAAAAACAGACAGTCACAACGTGAAGGCCCAAGCCACTCACCATGGGCTGATCCTCATCAGTGGGATTGGGAAGCAGGTAAAGAAGACAGTAACGAGGAGAAAGGGCTTCCTCCCCCACACATCAGACAGAGCACCTATGAGCGGAGCACTCAGAAAAGAGAGCAGGCCCTGGAGAAGAAAACAGAAGCAACAGTTAAATCTAGAATATGATCCGCCAATTATTTGTAACTATTATTTTTTAAATGCATTAGCTCTAATTCAATTTATTGGCCCAAAAACAGAATAGATGAAACACTAAACACAAACTGCTATATTTAAAAAACATTCTAACAAAATTTTAAATGTGCTATTACAAAGAGAAGGAAAGGATAAAAGAACTTGTTTTCAAGAAGGAATTAGAAGAGAGAGATAACATGAAAAATACACACACACACACACCCATGTTTGGCCCTTAAGAACATACACCAAGCATACAAGAAGTCAAAAAATTAAATCTTTTAATAAATACATATGGCATGTGTATTCTGCACAAGTCTCTCTCTGCATTAACTGCTGCAATGAGGACACCCAAATGAATACACACCATACACACTCCAACGGTCTCACAGAAATAAAAAGGATGAGTGTGCATATGCTAAATGCCCAGAAGAAAAGTAGATTCCTTGTCAATCAAAATAAAGTTTCTCTGCTTGATGAGTTTAGGATGAAGGAGATAATTCAACTTGAACAACAACAGAGTTGAGGCTAGCGGAAGTCTGTGTGGTGATAGCTAACACCACACAGAAGCAAAGGAAGTCAAGTAACTCACTTTCACTACTTGTCCCACTATTTGCCAGTCACTGGGCTGCTGGCCACTTTCATATGGATGGGGGTGAATAAGAGTAGAAAAATGTTAATAAATAATGAAACAGAAGAAGAGTACATGCATATTCATTGTATTATTCTTTACTTTTGTGTTATCTGAATTTTCATTAAAATACGTTTAAAAAACTACTCAGCATAGCATATAAATATTTAATAGGACCCTCTAAAATCTGGCCCCTGACAACACACCCTATTCTGTAGCTACATGCAATACTTCTAATTTTCTGGACACACCATGTTCCTTTGTACTGATGGCCTTAGCAAAGGCCTTTGCCATGCCTGCGTGTTCTTCCCACACTTGGACTTGGTAAAAGCTGCAAGTCATTATTCCCAAGCTTGGGGGAGAAGGACGAGAAGCATTTTTTCCTCTCTCTTGTCCCTTAACTACTTAAGCAAATCTAATCATACTACTGAGGCAGGGACAAAGCAAACTTCCCCCACATGGTACATATCACTTCTATTTTAATTTCAACACTCCATTACAATCACTTGTTATTTGTCTATCTTCTCTACTGGATTAGAAATTGAGAGTAAGGTCAGAGAGATAAGGTTTCTTTTCATCTCTGTACCGTTCCTAGGTACCTATCACAGGGCCTGGTGAACATAGGCTTCCAAATTTGTTTGGTGAATTGAATATAACTTCTAAGAGGAAATCAACTTGTATAAGTTAACAAGGTCACATAGATTCTAACCCCTATGAGCCACCAGTTAACCCAGGACAGCAGACACTGTAAACCAGGTGTCCTCAAACTACGACCTGCGGGCCACATGCAGCCCGGCGAGGGAGGACATTTATCCAGCTGTTTTTGCCACAGCTGCCTGTCCTGCTTAGCAGTCGACTCGCAGTGCACATGTGTGGAATGTGCACCGCACTCTCCAATGGCCCTCCAACAGTCTGAGGGACAGTGAACTGGCCCCTTGTTTAAAAAGTTTGAGGACCCCTGCTGTAAACTGAAGGTGAACTTAAGTAAGGTGGTAAGGGGGGTGAGAGAAAGACACAATGGAGGGTAGGCAAGCTGAAGAGAAAAGTTTTTGGTTCCTCTGAAACAAATTTATCCATGGCCCAGGAATCAAACCTTGTAGATCCCAAGTTACAGTAGACTTCAAGTGCATTTGCCCTGCTCTCTTTTCAAGACAGTAACAGAAGGAGGATTAAATAATTTTCCTTTAACTAAGGCACTAAAAGACTGCAGAAGCAGGGCTCAAATTTAAGACATGTGACAATCGACTTCATGAATTTTAAAAAGAAAATCTTTCATGTTGCTTCAAAATTAAGTATCAAATACCTAAGTACCTATGTAGTATAAAACTAGTAAAGAAAATAATGTAAAAAATTTAAGAGAGAAAGGCAACAGAAATGACCACTACCACGATCACCACAAAGCAGTAACAAAAACTTTATAAGCACAAAGAATCCAGGAAAAGTTTTTGGACAGTCCTAATTTCAGATTTCATACAGTGCTTAAAACACGGAATATATGCTATTTTTTAAAAAAAGATATGAGAAAGCCAACTATGTTTTATATATTTAAAATAATGTAGTTTTATAGAAAAAAGATATTATTTTCTAGATTATTGATTTAAATTTTATTTTATTCCATTCTTTAAATAATATACCTTAAATTATTACTGACCAAAACAGATATTACAAATATCTTCTAGGAGAACCTACTATTTTATTAAGATGCCAAAATATAATTTATTAAAATACTTGGCTCTGTGAAAAATTTATATTTCCTTACTATCAAATACTTTCTTCTGTCCATAGTTATTTCTTTAATACCCAAACTGGCCTTAGATCCCATCAGGCCATATTATCAGAGCTGTAGATTGACCAGGACACTTTGTCATTTATTGATTGAGCAAGTACTTCATCAGTACTGAAGCTGCAGAGCACAATTTGTAAGAACAAAATGTTTAAACATTAAAACCAGACTGACAACAAAGCCCTAGTCTTAACCTCTAATACAGGCAATTCTCACTATTCATAGTAGTTATACTCTATAAATCACCACAAACACCGAATTAGCGAATACAGAACCACTGCTTCTAAGGGAAACAAGAATGCCGACCTCAGGGGAAAAATGCACATCAGGAAACCCAAATTTTTCCCCTACTCTGAGCACATCTGTGAATGACAACAAAAACACTATATTGATTTTGAGGTGAGAAATAAACTAAGTGAGTAGACGGATTCACAAATACGGAATCCTCAAGTAATGAAGATCGACTATACTCATATTGTGCAACCATAGCCCAACAAGTACCTGAATAAAACATGGTGTGGACGGCAAAATTAACCAACAGTTTATCATAGTCACTTTAGTATAATAAGCTTCCAAACAGGTTTTAAGCTGGCATAATTAACTGGCCAGTAATTCTGATATGGCCTTTTAGGTCCTAATTTGACAAAATAGCAATTAAAACTTGTTCAATTAAATGCAATTATCCAATAAATTTTTAAAAGTATACAAAGAATGGCAAGTACAACTCATCTGAAACAAATATATATGAATTTTATAATTTATATAGCCATCATAAATGTTTCAAGCACATATTTTCCTTAACATATGCAGTTGGAAAAATATTATACTAAAACAATTTAGGTCAATACCCTTAAAAAAGCTTTAAAACTAAAAATAATTTTAATTTTGCTTCAAATATTATAATTAACTTTGCAACTGAGTTTGAGGGAACAATGGCACCAAGGAAGAATAAAGTACAAAGTCATTTAACTAATTCTGAATACTTTCATTTTCCCATGGAAAAGTTAACACTTTATGACAAAGTTTATTTCCTTTAGAAACCAAGAGGAACTCACAACATGTAAATATAGGTTATTCCCAAATTGGATTCACTTTGAATTTTCATATTTTACTAATAATTTCTATCTTTATTTCTTAAAAGTAGATCAAAAGGAAAATCCCACACCAATGGGACTGTGATTTTTATTTATAATATATAACTAGAAATACTAATCTTTTCACACAAAAACAATATAAAACAGGAGTCCATCTTTCTGACCTAGGACCTACTGAGACCCTGCACGGTACAGAATTTTCCTTTCCAGAGTGCATGTAAATCAGTTCAATAGGGCAAAAGAGAAATGTAATTAACACATAAAGTGAGTTTAATTAAGTGATTGCCAAGAAAGGGGATTTGTGAAGCAGAGAAAGTCATCTGCCAGAGTCTCAGAATGGTCTAGAGCAGGGTTTTGTTTTTGGTTTTTTTTGGGGGGGGGGTGCTGGGGGAGGTAAGGAGAGAAAAGCAAGAGAAGATTCTCTGAAAGAAAGCAGGAACAAATAAAAGTAGGATGAAAGTTAAATTTATTTAATTAAAATATAAAGAAACAAACAAGCTTTTCCTTAATCTTACGGAGTCACTATTTCAAATTCTGATTCCAAGAAAGCTAAGCATATGTTTTAAAGTAGTAATAATAATGGCCAGTATTCACATATGCTACACTGTTCTACGCATTTCACACTCTTGAAGTCAAATAAAATATGTAGAGATAAATCTATAAATTTAAAGTTTTATTTGGCATAAAAGAATTGCAATTTGGGCCATACACACAGACCAGGTGGTCTTCAGTATGTCCAAAGAAAAAATAGGAAGTTAGAGATTTTATAAAAAGGAGAAATGTTATGTATTATTTTTTTTCCAGCACTAGTAAAGTTCTGGGGAGCTAGCAAACTGGTGAGTAACAGTGGTGGGTAAAACTAGTCTTCAGTTGCAGCAGGTTTTTTTCTGTAGCCCTTAGGCAAAACCAGCTTCAGGTTACAGCAGGCAGTTTTAGCAGCCAGTCTAGTGGCAGCAATGTTATGTGTCCTGAGTGCTTTTGGCCCCCTAGCTTTTGACTCTGTTTTAGTTGAGTATGACAAGAATGAACCGAGTCGTACGATCAACTTTCACAACATAAATCTACTGCACCCTGTGAGGTGTGTGCAGTCAGCCCTCCATATCCATGGGTTCAGCATCACATATTCAACCAATCAGGGTTCCAAAATATTTGAAAAAAAAAACAAACTTAAAAATAACAATACAACAGTAAAAAAAATACAAATTTTTATATAAATACAGTTAAACAACTATTTGCATAGCATGTACACTGTATTAAGTAATATAAGTAATTTAGAGATGATTTGACCAACCAAGTCTGTTGGTCCCTTGATCTTGGTCTTGCCAGCCTCCAGAATTGTGAGAAAATAAATTTCTGTTCTTTATAAATTACTCAGTCTAAGGTATTTTGTTGTAACAGCACAAAGAGACTAAAATACTACCCAATTCAAAAGATACTGAACACA